TCGGCGGAGAAAATTCATTGATACGCATCATCAGAAGAGCTGAGGCAAGGCAAAGCTAGCATTACAAAAATTGTGCCAAGGGAGCTACGCCACGTGAGAAAACCAGAAGGTATTTTGGTTGGAATTGCTATTAGTACATGAGGGTGTACCACAGTCAGGTTTTGCTTGTGTACTAGGGCATCACGTGAGGGAAGCTTGGATAATTTTTCATAGGGTTAGCCGTACAAAGTGCCATGACGCCAACGGGTATCAGGTTTGAGGTGGAGAAGTTCGCGGAGCTGAAGACCTTGGGTTATGGCAGACAAGGATGAAAGATTTGTTGGCACATCAAGGATGTGCTTGAAGGCGTTGCGGGAAGTCATGTCAGCTGTGATGGAATTAGCATGTGATGGATGGGAATTTGCCGAAAATGGTATGGGAGCCTCGAGCGTGTCGTACAGTCGAACGAGATCGGCTGGGTCGGACTAGACAGTCTGACGGATCGACGCAAGTCGGTTGGTACAGAAGACGGTGGTGAGATCGGTGATGACGACATTGGAGCGTGTTGCTGATGGTGACCGACTTCTGGGGCGTGGAAATACGTGGCGCAGGCCCGAGGGCTTGTGCGGCTTCGACAAGACTATGGCGCGGGATTGATTCAAGGTGGTGTATACACGAAGCTTGAAGTCGATGAGGCGAAGGGGTGGACTGATCATCTACCATGGAGTCATGTTGAAGGTGGAGCTGGAGTCTGACGGAAGACTTCACTCAGTGCTGATTGAGGGGCTACGGCGTAAGACGTCAGAGAGTCGAAGCCTATTTCAACGGGAAAGAGCGAGGGACGCGTAGTTCGGACTGGAGCCCAGTGGTCTGATGGAAGCGTGAAACTCGTCATTGGTCGGTGATGATCGGTGGTACTCTGCAGTGAGGGTTGAGTGGTGTGGGTTTGTGACCCTTGAGACTCGACCGGGACAGCGGAGGCTCGACGCGATAATAGCGGCGAGGCGTGCGGGCATGCACGGGACATGGAGACGGGTCAAGGCTCTGGTGGTCATACATGTGGTGAGACAACTGCGAATTTGACTCGGGATGGCTACAAGCAATGGTGAAATTCCTTCAAGTTTCAGACAGGCGGTCAAGAAAGGAGCGGTGAAGTTGAGTTCAGGTAACTCTTATGTGTGACACCCAATATTGAGTTGTTTACTTTCACGCAGGTCAGTGATCAGTGTGTGATGGCATTGGACGGATACTCTGGAAGTTGGGAGCACATACTAGAGTAAAGAGGAACTTAATTTTGCTCGAGCGTTGACTATGATCAAGAAAAGAAGGGACTACAAGTTGCACGTGGAGTCATATGAAGTCTTTGGAGTAGCAGCAGTGCTCATGGAATAAATTCAAGTCCAATGTACATGAAAGTTTGATGCATGGACACATTCAAGGTGGTGGAGAATATTCGCCAGGGTGGAGTTTGTTAGAGTTGTGTCGAATATAGTGTACAAGGTCAGTTGGACTATGAGTTGAATTATGTTTACATAGGATGTGGAGTCGTGTCCTAGTAGGACACTTGTATCCTAGGCCTCTCATATATAGCGGGGGTAGACACATGATGTAACCTATGCCAACATAATAGCACCGAAACGCAGGGAAAGCCGGCGGCATGTGCCGGTGTCCAGGGCGACCAGGTATGGTATTGTGACGATGTCACGGGAAGGAGCGCCCGTAATCAGACCCCGGGATGTATCATATCGGTGAATCTCGGTGTCATGCTCGTGTGATTGCTTGGTCCTCGGATGATTGACGGTATGTCTCGGATTTATTCTAAATAAAGAAGGGTGGTGGCAATGGCGGCCGCCGGAGGTCGTATCTCCCGTACAGGCAGAACCTCGTCGGGCTCTTGGCCAGCACCACTGCGTTCCGGCGGAGCTATCACCTGTTTTGACTAATACTCCCGTACAGTATTTCATCTGCATGCATGCTACCGTGTCAATGTATGATTGGTAAAATTTCTCTGTCCGTTTCTGAGGTATAGTGTGTAAAAGAGCTTGCTGCAGCACAAAGCATACACTGAATCCATATGTTCATCTAAATTTACTGATTTATTAAGAATTGTTTTCATGTTATCAAAGGGAAGTTTGTCATGATGGTAGGTGGATTTTTTGTCCTTGGTGCAACTACAATTGGTTGATTGTTTTGTACCCTTTGAAGGAAAATTAATTTTTTATAGTACATTCCTTCCTCTCGCGTAGCAATGAGATGATCAAGCTATTACATCATAGAAACCGGCAACTTAACCGACAAACCAAGTGAGTTTATCATTATGCTCCCAACTGGCTATCTTAACTAGGCCCGACAACGTGTGAACCCTTGCTCTCCTCTTGCATTCTCCATACTCCTTCTGGTCGGAATTACTTGTCACAAAAATGGATAAAAATGGATGTATCTACAACTAAAATACATCTAAGTACATTCATTTTTTGGACGAGTAGTTCCGACGGAGGTAATAGATCGCAACATCATCTATCTCCTGTGAAAAACGTAACCAAAATCGTCGCCTCCATTTCTCGAAGTTGCTAAACACCCAAAAATCATTCTCGACCAGGTTGCCTTTGTCCATCATCTTTCATAAAATTATGACCGTCCCTATGGACATTACAACTGACGTTGCAACTGCCATCACCACATAACTTGATTGCTCTGTCTCCACCCACCTCCAGACATACTCTCTCTTCCCGCCTTTCAAGTTTCAACCTATCATTGAAAATCCTCTAAAACTATCTCACTTGTTGGCACGCAAAAATCCTACTCTAGTTGTTTTACTCTACTTCCATCCGTCCTTGATGCTCTTTTTGTCCAGATTATGTATGCCCCTCATCTCTTACTAAAAAATGAACAAAGGCCTAGGCGCGATTAGGCGTGATTTCTTCTAGGCGGGTGAGCAAACATGGATGGGGGCACTATGTTTAATTGTTTGAAAAATATTTCAAAACCAAAAAGTTTCAATGGTCTATACATCAAAGACTTGCTTACTCAAAATAATTGCCTCCTTATGAATTTTGCGTTCAATGCTCCTAAAATGTTAAACCTCCCCTGGGTGCAATGTTTCACACTCAACAGTCCTCCAATATTGCCACTCCCACCTCTCAACCCTCTTTCCTCTGGAACAATATAAACCAACATGATTCAAAGTATCCCAAAGACATCAACACTAACTCACCGTCAAGTCCAATTGGACCCATGACAAGGGCTTGTACAAGCGACATACAAATTAAGGTGACTTCACTCCTCTTTGAGCTCCCTATGAATTTAAATGAGACATGGCTACTGCCTCAATCTGGAACCCTTGTGCGTGCTTAGGTACAATGGCAAGGACCATGGAGAAGCACGAGGAGAGAAAACTCAAATAAGGAGAAGAAGTGCTCCTTCACTACAGCTCAACTGTTCCGGCCAGGGAGCCGGATTATCTAGGACGAGGCCGAGAAGCCCCAGTTGAATCAGCCGAAAAGTCTGGTCATGCATGCGCCTCTGCCGATTCACCACTTCCGGACTGCTCGGGAACCAGTTATGACTATTCGGGCCGAAATCGAGAGGCCCTAGATGAACTCCCAAGACTATCTTGGTGACTCCCACCAAATGCCGGAAGAATAAAAACCGAACTATTTGACATGCTGAGTGGGCTAAGCCCATGTGCCTTTTTCCCACCTACTTCTCGGTCCTAGACTATGTAAGTCATATCCCCTTCCTAGATGTACGGTTAGCGATGTATTATAGACAAAACTAGGAGAGGTTTGCGCATGTACCTCCTTGAGGGGATCTCCCCAAGTGGTTTCAAGGCTTCCACTTGTGGAGAACACTCTATTGGAGTAATTATGACCTCCATTCGAGAAGATTCCTCTGAAAATTACGATACCTCCTTCTCTTCGGAGTTGGGGTGGGGGAAACCCTTTGCTTGCCTTTTTTCCTTTGTTTGTTATTTGGATCTAAGATGCCCCTCTTGTATTGACTTTTGTGTTATAAGATGAGTACTCAGTGGTGAATCTCTTATTTAAGTGTTTCTCTTGTGTTTTCCGCATAGTTCCTCGTGCTCTTCATGTTCATCCTCACATCCACCTTCAATTCGTAAAGATCGGGCCACCTCACACGGTTTACCATGTCTTGCAACAACCACCCATCCTCAAACAAATATCATTTGTCCTCACTAGCAATGGTAGATCCGCCTTCTTCTATAGAAATACTTGGCCCTCTAGCCAACCCTAGCGCATTATCACACGACATTGACTCTATCATTTCTCTCACATATCAGACAATTGTGGCTAGCTAGTTAACCTCCAAAATTGTTTGACTGCGGCTGCTAAGATATAGTTGGATGTTGTTTTATTTCTGTTGCAGGATTTCAGCCCAGGTCAAGACAATGACAACGCTTCCTCTTCCATGGGAAGAACTTCTCCACCCACAACACCAGTGGATAACATCCTCATGCGTGAAGACCACACCGACCACAACGCCGAACCTAACTTGGTTCTCAAAAGTCTCGATATCTCCGACTGGCTTCTATTTGGGCACAATCTCAATTCCAAGGCCAACCTCTTCCACAAGACCATCACTCACAATAGCATGTGCCCTAGATGGGAACACGGCAGACTGGCCGCGCTCATAATGTTTGGGCTCTCACCAGCCTCTCGACCCCATTTTCTCTCGAGTTGGTTTGGGACTCTGCGTGCCCCCTTTGGTCTCGACAACAACGTTTGGCCATGGGTAGCTCTCACCATCCTTTGGGAGATTTGGCCATGATTGTTTAAAGACACATCTATTTCAGCGTTCGTTGTCTCGATCAACTTTGACGTCGAAGGCCGAGCAGGAGTGGAAGGCGGCTTCGTATAAGTATATGTGCCCACGGACGGTTCTGAGTTGAGAGGAGAAGCTGAGCACAGCTCGTACTAGGACATGGCGGTACGTAGTAGTTAGGGCGGGTGCGTGAGAAGAGAACCGGATGTTACAGTAGAACTAGTAGCTGTAGCGAGAGCATGGAAGGCGCCGGCGACTTCACCTTCGCCGTGGCCGCGCCTCTGGCAGGCGCCGGCGGCCGACGGGTAGGCGCCGGTCTGCTGTACCCGGTCTTCGGCCAGCCGCGGTCACCGCCGCGCCAGCGGGCTCTGGAGACGGACACGACGACGGGCACCGCGCGCGTGCCGCTCGGGCGGCTTCTGCTCGTGGACGCGTTCCGAGCAGAAGCGGAGCAGCAGCAGCCGGACGGCGGGGACAAGCTGTCGGCAAAGACGTGCAACTGTTCGTGGTGTCCCGGATCACCGTCCACGCCGGCGACAGCGTCATCCCCGACGCGCTGCCGGAAGAGCGGCTCCACGGGGTCGGTCCTCCGGTGGAGCCAGCGGCTCCTCGGCCGGAGCCACAGCGACGGCACGGAGAAGTTCGTCTTCCTGGACGCCAGCCCTTCCAACTCCGGGACCAAGCGCAAGGGGGTCAGGAGCGGCGGCGTCGGCGGCCACGCACACGTCTGGAGCTCTTACGCGCACAAGGGCGCTGGCAATGACGGGCGCCGGAGGTCGTTTCTCCCGTACAGACAGGACCTCGTCGGGCTCTTCGCCAGCGCCACCGCGTTCCGGCGGACCTACCATCCGTTCTGACGACGTACCGGATCCGTAGAGCATTTGGTCTGCATACATCCTACTCTTTGAGTTTGTACTCCTGCTTGTTTGCTTGTTGTACTATTTCATCATCGGTTTGTATTATTGGTGACCGGAGCGTGTAAAATCAATTTCATATTTTTTTGGGGGTGAATTTCATATGTTCCTTTGAACTTTATGCAGTACACTTTGTTCAGTAATGCTACTACTTAAAAGGCTTACGCCCCGCTGTATTATTATAGCAACGGCACGGAATACCTGCTGGGGCAAACAGCACATCAAGCCTAAAAGAAAAAGAAGAAAAGAGAAAGTAATGTCAACAACGGCAACTCGATGAAACGTGGATGACCCGCCACCGCTACCCACTCCGGAGTCGTCCCACCATACTACAAGTACCCCGAAAAGCTGCGTACCAAGCAACACTTTCAAGAAGGAATGCGACAACGACAACGCTGTTGCCGGGATATGTCCTGGGGTTTTCTCCGGCACGCGGAGGAAAGTGGGGAATGGGTACATCCGGTGCCCTTCAAGAAAATGGCGGCACCCACAGGCATCAGCGCGTCGGTGCCAGATGAGCCGACATGGATTTCTCCAAAACCCAAAAACCACTAGCCAAACGATCCGTAGCCTTCCATCTAGCTTGCGACCCACTAGCATGCGCCATCACGATCTGAACGCCACCCACGTCGTCTCACTGATATCACCATCGCGAGGCCTAGAGGACGGAATATGGGAGTGCAAGGAATCGAGGACGGCATCATCGAGGCCACGCGGGAGGGAAATGCCTCCACCGCCGTCGCGAGGGAGGTCACTGCCTCCAGCGCCTTCGCAGTAGCCGGCCAGATGCGTCAGCAGGGGCACACCAGGCCTCCGGGCCCAGACGGGCCTAGATCGAGCCTGCAAAGCCTCCGCCGCCATGTTGCAGCAAGCCGGCGATAGCGCCGCCACCACCCAGAATCCCGACTCACGACCTCCACCACCAGGAGGCTACACCATCGACAGAAGAGCCGCCAGCCCGCCTTGGCTCAGATGGGCCCAAAGGGGCCATATCTAGGTTGAACGGGTGTCATAGGCCGCACCTCCGCAGACCACCCTCGCCAGCACCAAGTCACCCCGCCGCCGCAGCCTGGAAGCACCACCCAGAGCCGCGCCGCCCCGCGCAGAAGCACCTAAGAGAGGGGAAAGCAGGGGGCGCCGTTGCCGGCAGCGCCGCCCGGGCCTTGGCCGACGACGCACGCCAACGACGGCAGGAGGAGAGAGGATCGGGGAGGGCTCTTGGGGAGGCGGATGGTGGCGCAGCCGGTCGACCGGCGGGGACAACCCGGTCGTGAGAGGGGCAAAGAGGGCACTCCGTTGGGTTTGAAGCAATTAACCAGATAATTAGTGTCCTTGCTAAATGAAAAACAATTCTCTTCGTACAAAAATCAGCTTCCTTCAAACATGGAATTGTCCTCCACCATTTTTCCCTTTTAAATCGAATTCGAACCAAATTCTCAGCTGATGAAACTATTACTATAGTACGTAGATGCAGCCTTTCTCTTGTTTGTAACAAACTGTTAAACTTTTTGTGTTTTGTATATATTGCGGGGAGCATACAGTGAAACTTGATCAAGTTCATAATGCAAGTTCAAGAGCGGTCTCCCTCGGGCACCAACTCCCCTTTCCCAAGCTTTACTCTTCGTATTAGTCGCACGAAAATTAAATTACATCATCCGATATGATCGTATCATATCATACGTCCGTGTCAGCCTTAATTAAGCCTGGCTGCGAAGCACGACTAGCAAGATTGTAAACGTTTCTTGCAGCCTACGACGCGTGCTGCCTCCGACATCGACCAAGCATAACTGCTGACACGGATAGCTAGCAACGACACACAAGTACATTCTGGTCATCATACTGTTACTACACAGTAGCTATACATGTTTTTCCTTGCCACTTCACGTCAGACCGTAATCAACCAGATTTTTCTGGATATTTCTTCGGAGTATATATATGTGGGTGCGATTGCCATGGCTAAGTCAAAATTTACTGCGAGCAAGTTTAACCAACCGATGTGTTTGAAGTGGGACCAGACGGCTCACCCTGCGGCCAACATGCATGATCATCTTGTAGCTAGATCACCATAACACCAGCGAAAACGCCTGCTGAAGACTCGACTCGTGATCACGTACGGGCCAGCGACGGGCACATCGCCTATACCACCGAGAAATGTACTCGTAACCATACAACTATACACAAGCAATGGTCGCTATTTGAAATATCACTTTACCACCTTTATCGTGAGATTGTTATCCTTGGCGAGATGTGGTGACCAATGCATGGGACTTTTCTGAGATACCAGGGGCTACGGTGTCACGTCGAGAGCAACGTCGTCTCATTCAGTCCTCTCCTTCTGAGTCTTTATGGATGTCCAAATTACACGACAGGCTCGTAAGATACATTACATTATTACGTGGCAGACAGCAACGCTAGCACTGTGCTTAATTGCACAGTAGCACAACATATCACCTACGGCATTAATCATTCGCCGGGTTCCGGATCAACACAAACCATTGCGGTGGCAGCAGCTTCCACAGAGTCCGCCAAAACTGATTTGAAGTGAGGTGTGAGATCTGTTAGAAGAGAGAGGGGGGCATTGTTGCAGAATATGACGGATGTATTATTGAGCCTCGAGGGCGATTATATATTAAGTACAAGGCTTGGAGGACAAAACGCCTCTCCTAAAGATAAGGTAGGAGACGGATTACAAATCCTAGACTTCCAAACACATATAAC